CAACATAAATAATATCATAAGCAAAAGCAAAAACCAAGGCACATTCTCTAGCAAATGTCTAATAACAAATTACAAGATGTAAAATCTTACAATGGACGAAATCGGTGATTGAGGCAGGAAACTTCGGCAAACTAGGTTGAACGATCTTCACACCGGCGAAGCTACTCCAACCTTTAAAACAAAACTCCTTATCATCCTATGAAAATTTATATTAAGAAAAGCAACCAAAACTTTCGAAACTTGCTGTCAATTTTTGCAAAAAATGTGTCCTTTCGCTAGTGACGGAGGCATTGATCGTCGACGACGTCTTGTGGAAGTCCGGAAGCTTTGGCAATGGCGATCTAGGGTGGGGCGATGCTGGGGCGACGAGAGTAGAGCGGAGATATCAAAGAAATGGCAGAAGCAAATGAGTAGCCACACGGGCTCAAGTTCAAAAATAGGGCTTTCTCCTGCGGAAGTTCCGGCGTATTTGACGCCGGAAACTTTCCCGGCGTCTTTTGCGCCGGTTATAATTCATTGAATTTAAAATGGCTAGCGTCTGCTCCGCCGGTAAATCCGCCGGCCATTTCCAACGTAAAATATGTGGCTTCGGATGAAATGCTTGTATGTTCCGACGTCAACACCGTCGTATTTGGCGTCGGAACCCTACCGACGACTATTCCACTGTAAAAAACACCGTTATCATTCCGTTGCATAATACGCCGATAAGAATGCTGTACTTACCGACGAATAAAAATCCGCTGGAACCTCCGACGATAATCGCGTGTTTTCCCGTAGTGTATAAATAAATAAATAATCATAAAAATGTATATTTATTTGAAAATAAGATTTGAAAAATTCATAATATCAAAAATTTTATTTAAAATTTTTAAGAATCTTTTCTAAAATTTCTTTTTTTATCTATATTCTAATTGAATTATTTGAGCACCAACTAAATTATTAAATAAAATAAAGTGAATATATCCAATTAGCATTTATTGGGAACTATCTGGCTTGACTAAGGTCTTGAAATTTTAATATGGATATAGTGATTTTTTTTTTCTATTTGATCCCATAAATTTGAATGATAAATTTGGTTATAAACTCTTAATCACATGTGTGTGTATGTATATTCATAATTATAAATAATTGATACCTTAAGATTGATAAATATATTTTTTTCACGTACCTCTGAATGAAATATAGTTCTCATAAACACAACGGGAAGGAAGATCATTGTAAGAGAAGGAGATAATAGGTGTAGATGGAGAAGAAGAAGAACAATAATTGACATTAAATTTAGTTCTTCTTCTCAAGCTACATTTCAAGGAAGCTTCGAGATTAATTCTCCTTCCATCAATGATATTTTGCATGGTTTATGATAGGTTCTTTAATGAGGACCACATAATATTTTCCCCTTACTCAGATTAAAAGTACTAGACAGATTATTGCTCATAATAAGGGTATTATCAACAAAACAACCACTCCTATGAGAAGTCATAAAAGTTATGCCTTATTGTCATCTCTGATAAACATAAAGAAGTTTACTTTCTTCAACTTAATAGGTACCTTGCCCCATAGTAATAGAAATTTAGAGAAGATTTTACTTTTAGTTTGCTATCCCATTAAAGAAGGGTGCTAAGAAAAGGGATAAACATAACATTTTTTGGTACCATAAAGACTATATCTATAACACTATAAAAATATAGGATACTTAAAACCCTCAAGGAGAAACTAATTGAAATGTCGTAATTTCTTACTCATCAATATTGTGAGTATAAACAATGTATTAAGGAGAATCAACAATAATATCCTATCACTACCCTAACTATTTTTAAGTGGAATTAAGGCTAATGATCCTAAGAAATAGTTAATCCTACTATGAACATATTTAATTTATTTTAACCATGGTTTAATTAGCTTGAAGATTGCTTGGGCTTGTTGTTTGGGTTAAATGATATCTTTATATAGTCCATAAAATTAATTAGCTTAGCTAATATGTAAAGATCATTTGGTCCCATTTGATCAAGTTGAACCAATTTAACATACTTGACCTAACCCCCTGGTCAACCATGGTTATTGGGATTTGGTTGAGCTAGTAACATCATAGGGAAGCTCCATAAGCCTAAAGTTCATCCAATTTAGTGATCTAATGTGATTAGGTCAAGTTGAATGCGTAAGAGTCTAATTGGGACAAGCTAGGCTTACGAGGTTTGATTGAATAAGCCATGGGCCAATTAGCACCAATGGGATGTCAATAACCTTTATCCTATGCAAGATGTAAGGTCCATTAATTTGGTCAATTGAAGATTGTGAAAACATTTAGGTCAAAGTATAGAAAATTGGCTAAAGGTTGACTAAACTTGGTCAAAGGGTTGACCAATCCTAGTGGTCAATTTGAACATTAAACAATTAAGTCAAGTTGATCAAATGAATAAGAAGAACTATAACATTCAATTGAGATAGTTTGAATTAATTGCGATCATTTGGCCTAATAAAAAGGCAATTGTAACATCCCATAATTAAATTTAGAAGAATTATCTATTTTTTATCTTCTTGATTAATCAATCAGAGAGTCTAAAAATTATCAAAATAATAAATATATATCATGTAAAAGCAACTAATAAATAATATATCTCAAAATATTTTACTATAGTTTCAAAATAAATATACATTAGCTAGGGGATTAGTATAATGACTATTCTATCAAAAACTCTTAATTACAAAGGAATAAGAAAAAATAAAAAATAAAATAAAAGGAAAACATAAGGATTTCTGTCAATTTCACTCCAACTAATCCTAACTCATTCCCTGACCTGAAATCATAAAAAATCTGCATAATGAGTAGAAATGCTCATCAAGTGACCAAAACTCTATCACTATTTTCAATATTTGGAAAAAGAATCAAGATGTATATTCAATTCTAGTCAATAACAATCATCACTTAATATGAATAATTTTGATAGGAACATATTGGATTTTCACCGATTAAATTGGAAGTTATGATTTTTTTGAAGTAAATGTATTATAGGTATTTGATAAATTTTCTTATTTTTTATTAGTGCATTTCATATATGATAACATATGAAAGAAAGAAAATAGCACATTTAAGATAAGATAAACAAATAGATATCTATGACAGATAATAGATGCAAGAAAAAAAAAAATAGCACATTAAAGTTGCATGTCATATCTTGCTTTTCATAATTATACTCATGGTAATATTTACATAATAGTCCATTAAACTGATTGATAGATATAAATGAACACATGCTAATATTAATATTGATACAATATAACATAACATACTAACATGGCTTAATGAGTGATAATCTTTTTTATTGATTTTTCTTATAATTTGATAGATCTCTTTCGACTTTATTGATCATATTTATTTTATTATTAATTTTTGAGATTTTTATTACTCATATTAAGTGATGATTGATTTGGATTAGAAATGAGCATACCATCTCAAAGGAAGCAAGATAAAAGTACATCTTACCCAGGGGCGGAACCCCATGGGTGTCAGGGGGGTTTAGGCTCCCTTTTAGGAGGATAGTGTAATGCAATAAATTGTAGATATCATTTAGAATTCTAATTACTTTAAATTAAAGAAACATAAGCGTTGGGCTTTTTTTGATAGAAAAACTATCATAAACTCTCATTATTTTTCTTTTGGATTCAAGATAGTTGTTGGCTTACAAAGAAATATAGATCAATTATGATCTTCATCTTTTTTAGCATTCTAATTCTAATTGGAATTAATATGATCTCCTCGATGTTCAGTTGTATAAAGCAATTAAGGTTAAGATTTATAATTTTAAGTCAATGTTCAATTGATCTAATTTGGTCCTATTATGCTATGTAGCTTTTTCCATTGGTCAACTTTGGCTAACACATTTACAATTTGATGATCTAAATATTATCAAAGAGATTCAATCGATATATTGGATCATTTGGTTTCAATTGGTCTGATAATTTTAGGGTTTATGGAGTTTTTAGGCTAGTTTAATTATAGGTTAAACTTGGGCCCATAGCTCAAGATTAAATGATCCATGGGCCAATTACAAGGCACTAGCATATGATTGCACTAATGTGGAAAATTAAATGCTTATACCAACAACTTAGTTAATTAGGACCAATTAGGGTTAATAAAGAATGAGTTCACTATAGGGCTAGATAAGGTCAAACCTATCTATACAATTGATTTGGAATTCATAATTGAATGGTCATTGCATTCCTCCTATGGGCTTTAAATTCCAACATGATTCTATAGTTGTCCTAAGGTCAATTCTTAGTCAACATTGGCTAAGGCTTAAGGTAGGTTTTCTAGCTAAGTTAAGCTATTATTGAACATATGAATGAGCTAATGGATTTAAATTGAATTATGTTTGAATGAGTAGGAAGTGCTTGAATCATCTTTATAATGAGATAGAAGATCAAGAGGTATTGCTCTAGTCAAAATTCAAATGAGCTAGACATGTATGACTAACTCATTCCAACATAGGAAGTCACTTCTAATAGTTATACCCAAGCATCAAAATGATTTAAAAATTGAGATTTTTGGCGCCGACCACTCCAAGGGTGCTTGTTGGCAAGGCATCTAAGGATTCAAAATGCACAACAAAATGATCAACCGTTATATTAATCAAGGTATCACCAACAAAAAAATCAAATAGTATTTATATATTCTGTACTTATGAGAAAATAAGAGGGAAACCAATTAAGTATATCCCAAAATTCTTGTACATTCTTTACTATTTTATTTTTTAATCATTATTATACTTATTTGATTATTATTTTGTATTGTTATTTTTTTAATTTTATATGATATAAAATAATTTTTAATTATTAGATATATTTGTAAATAATAGCTATCAATTATAACTCTATAAATAACCGCTAAACGGATTCCCAAACCCGACCTTCTAAAATTATTTGCGCCATAAAAATTGGGTAACTACAGTCAGCGAGGAACCGAACTTGCGTGGTAAACCCTCTCCATTCTTTAGGGATTGGCACTCGGTAGGAGCAACACGCCCTTGTGGACGAAACTCCTGTTGGACAGAGGAGGACGGTGATTGTGCGCGATAGAGAGTCTCTCTTTCTCTCCGTTGGGAAATATGCACACTTTGGCGGCCCTGCCGGGGCACCCCGTGGTGGGATTCGCTGTTCGTCCGTGCCCAATGATCAGCGGAGCTGCCGGCGGTCAGAGGAGTTCTGGCCACGCCAGCGTGTCTCTTTACCCCATCCGCCAGAGGAGCGCGAGATGCGGTTCAGTGATTTGCATGGCACCCGAAGAGGAGAAGATGACCCGCCGCTCGCCTCTTGATTTTCCCATCGTATGCTGTCTCTTCTTTTTTCCCGTTTAATTCACTAGTTCGGCTTAAATTTGCGATGCCCAACGCCTTCTTCTTCTGAATTCTGTTCTCTCTCTCTCTTGAGTGCTTCTGTTGCCGGTGTTTCTTCAGCAGATGGTGCTTGTTTTGTGAATATTGCAGCATTTTCCAATCTTTAGTTGCTGATATTGCTCTCAATCGAAGCCCCCAAATCGTTATTAGCCATTATACCGTTGGAAATTTTGGTTTTACTTTATTCGTCTAGACTGCTGATTTGATTATCATCTGTGCATAAGGGTGGAACCAGCTCATTTATTGCTTTCATTATTTAGATGGAGAATACTGATGCTCACTGCTAGTTTTGTGCTTGGGAAATAAAGCCAGTAGAGGGATGCTCGATCATCTTAGCCTTTTTTTTTTATATCACACATAACTATATATTAAAGTAGGAATATGCAACAGAATTTCTTGGTGGAAAACAAAATTTGGGTAAACCACATGTGTTGGCTAGTTGAGCAACTGTTACTGGCATGGAAAATGTTATTAAATACCACCATTACATATATAATCAAAGAGGCCTCCAATCCAATGTAAAAGGATAATATTTGGTGTGTGTGTATGAGGGGAGGGGAGGGCGGGGGATGTGTGTGCTAATTCTACAATTTTGGCTTAGGTTGGTGGTTGACATACCCAAGAGAGATATGCAACCACTCTTATAGGAGATCAATATGGCATATGTCTGGTGGAGTTATCCCCAATGTAAGTCTTATTGGAGATGGTTGTGATATACGTCTAGCTAGATACTGTAATATAGCTCTTGTGGGAAACCACTATGACATAAGTCTTATGGGAGATGAATACAATGCATGACATAGATGCTACACGTCTTGCGGGTGATGGCTATGACATCAAAAAAAGGTTATGACATAAATTTTATGGATGATGGGTATGACACAAATGAAGTTTATATAAAAGTCTTGCTGGCGATGATTTATGCAAGCCAAGGTTGTGATGCAAGCGTTGTGGCAATGTTGTTGAACTCAATACTATGAGAACATTGGTTATGACATATTGAATTTTTGGTGGTTGTATTGATGGGAACAATTTGATGAAGGTTATTCATCTCTAATTAGGATTGCCAAAAAATAGCAACAATATCTTGTCATTTGTACGCATAAATTTCACTTATTGAGAGGAGTATTTTATTGTAATAAATCCATGAAATAATGGAGTATCAAAGGGCCAATAGGTTCAAGAAGCCTATATATTTTTAGAGCATTTGCTGATTAAGAAGCATGCTTTGAGGAAATCGAGGTCTTTGACTCATTGCTCTTGACAATTGTTTTACGAGTAGCCATTTAGATGATGAGTAGCTGTTTAGATGACCCCTTGACCATCATCGTTGGTGAAGCTACTTCCACCTGTTTAGCATGCGTTTGGTCACATGTGGCTCATTGTCGCATGCAAGGTTTAAAATTGCGCAATTGAGTATTGAGGCATTTTCTTTTATGAGGCGAGGCGTAATCCTCAAGACGTTTTGAGGCGTAAGCCTCAAAATCCAAAAAAATCGTAAAGTAAAAATGAAGGTTAAAAGTGATTTTTTATATGATTCTCAAATAATATGTTAAAGAATAACATATTAACTTTCTATTGAACTATGAAGTAACAAATTGACATACATATGAAACATAAATTGTACAAGATGTAAAGTGACAAGTGATAAATTGTGTGAAATAGAATTGAAATCCAAATATTGCAAGAACAAAACAACATGAAACATATGAATCACGTAAAAGTATCCTATTACATTAAGTTCGGCTCCAAATTCCTTCATTCTTAGGTCCCTATTCATCCACATTCAATTCCTAAAAAAAACTGACATAATTGGCAACAATTCAGAAATCATTTGCACCCTCATCAATGAGGGGTCTTTATTTGAGTTGTTGTCATAACAAATTGATCTCTCTCTTGTCTCATCTTGTAGAGTTCAATGCCACTCAATTTGTTTATTCTTCATTTATTTCAATCATCTCGTTCTTTCATAAATATTTGTCATCAATATAAATATGAGAATAATACTCCAAAATTTTTGGAGGAGGAGGTGGTGGTGGTGTGCTGCTTTCAAGTGATTCCCGGTGGTAGCTACGATGGTAGTGGCTACGGCAAAGGCGGTTGGCAAGAGATAGAGGCTGTTGGGAGGAAGTTGCTGCAGTTTGGGGGTGCATGAAGGCGTGATTTGTTTGGGGCTTTAGTTTATGGTTTATGTAAGTTTTAATATATATATATATATATATATATAATATATAATATATTATATATATTATAGTATATCGGCTTGAGGCGAAGGCCTCATAAAAAAGCTCGAGGCGTAAGTCTCGAGGCGTTTTTTCAATGAATTGCGCTGAGGCCAGGCCATCATATATAGGCAAGTTTAAACAATGGTCACATGTGACAAAATGTCAACATCGGTCAAGCCTATTCATTTCAAACCAACAAATTTGGATGGGTTAATAAGGGTGATCAGTTTTAATTTGGACAATTTTGGAGTTTACAGAGTTATGAATGA